AACAAATTTTAGTAAGCTATCATGGAAAGTGATGTTCATGTATCACGCTTTTATAACACATAATTCACTCTCTAGGCAATAAATTCAAAAATTTTGCGTTGTAGAGAAAATGAATACTTTAAACATTAGCGAGAAAGATATATACATTTTCAGGCAAAACAAGAAATTTTGAGACACTGAGTCCCAAGCTTTTAACTAGTTCTATTAGAGATTTCGTAAGCATACACATATCACTTAATAGGATTTCCACACAACTAAAATGCAACACCCCTTAGTTTGCTACCGAACAGCAATCTCTAGTCTAACAGATTCATAAGATCACAACTTGATCTTATAATACACCAGGATCATGCAAGCTCTATGTGTCTATGCTCTTAAACCTTAAACATGTAGACTCCTCATTTTTCTCGATATGCGGCACAAATAACCTTATAGATACTGACCTCGAGTTAAACATATAAGATTCTACCACAAACCTATATATAAATCCATCCAAGATTAATAATGCGCTCATATTCCCTTTTCCAATAAGGATAAGATACAATTGGGATAAAATTGTGTGTGAGTCAACAATGGACGTGTATCAATATTGAACCCTAACTGATATTGTACATGGTTATTATGTAAGTAACGTAAGCCCTAATTAGGCCAGGTCACCAACATAATTTATTACTAAGATAAGGTAGAACAAAATCTATTTTTCAAAATTAAAACGTTAAAAACAGCTGCCGTGAAGGTAAAACAATTAATATTAGTTAAACATTTTTATCGAAAATATAGAAAACAAAATATGAGATAATATTTACCTATTTTCAAAATTGTATGGCGATATATTCTTTACCCGTTTATTAGTTATTTTAAATATCTGAATAATACTTATCATACATATGTATTATCTAAATTATTTTTAATGTACATGCATTTCTGGTCTAATTTTAAATATTTTTACCTAATTTCCATATTCGCTGTTATCTGATATTTAAGTAAAATAAACATATTTATATGCCATTTTGTATAGTAAAATTATTGAATCTAACTAAATTTACGTTTTTTATGAATTGCTGAATTTAGCTAAATGTGACAAAATCTTTGTAAATAGCAAATGGTGTCTACGAAATTGTGAAATCTTGCTGAATCTTAAGAAAAGTTTTTACTAGGTTACCATTCACAGCCTATAAAGCAAACTCTAGAGAAGAAAACCACAGATATGGCCACTTAAATACTTAACAAGATGCACATCCCAGAAGATATAGTTTTTATGTTATAAACAATTTATTCTCAGGATGAATGTCATATCTACTTGAGCTCAAAATCGGAATATATGTCAAAGAGACAACAATTTAAGCATGTTGTCTAGCCAAGAATTTGTTTTAAGCATATCTCACTATTTTGTAACCAGTCGGATTTATCAATGCAAGAATGCTACTAACACTCTTTGTATTGTCAATAATTGTAGACTCTTCTTGGCATTT